TTGGTATACTCCTGAATTGAGGGCGATGAAGCAGGTTGGGAGACGGCTAGAGCGTAGGTGGAGGAAATCACGGGATGAATCTGACCGAACACACTTGAGAGCCCACTATCGGGCCTATGCTGTGGCGGTGAGGGCGGCGAAAAAGAGATTTTTTTCCGCTTCCATTGCCTCCTCACAATGCCGTCCGGCAGAGCTCTTTCGAGTGGTGCAAGGCCTGGTTCGTCCAGGTCCGAAAGAAGACCTGGTTCCACCCTCAAAGGCCCGCTGTGACGACTTTGCCAGGCATTTCAGGGAGAAAATCGCTCAGATTCGTCACGAGCTGGATTCCACTATTGATTCAGAGGTTTTAAGGGAGACGCCAATGCTGCCGTCTGGTCCAGAATTATTGGATGAATTTCAGTTACTGCGGCCCGATGATGTGGACAAGGTGCTTGGACGAGTACGTCCCACCACTTGCCTATTGGACCCTTGCCCGTCTTGGTTAATAAATAATTCCAAGCACGGGATTGGGATCTGGATCTTGGAAGTGGTTAACACTTCTCTGAGGGAGGATCGGGTGTCTGCCCCTTTAAAGGAGGCGGTAGTCCGACCGGTCCTGAAGAAGGCGTCACTGGATCCAGAGTTGGCCACTAATTATAGACCAGTGGCCAACATCCCGTTTCTGGGGAAGATGTTAGAGCGGGTGGTGGCGGGACAACTCCAAGCACTCTTGGATGAAACTGATTATCTGGACCCATTTCAGTCCAGCTTCAGACCCGGGTACAGTACTGAATCTGCCTCGGTCGCCCTGTACGATGACCTGTGCAGGGAGAAGGATAAGGGAGTGCGTCCCTGTTGGTTCTTCTGGACCTCTCAGCGACCATGGTATCCTTCTGGATAGGCTTGCAGGATTGGGGTTCGGAGGCACTGCTTTGCAGTGGTTCCGCTCCTATCTCAATGGCCGGTTCCAGAAGGTGGTGCTGGGGGACTATGGCTGGGGGACTATGGTAATGGGCTGGATGAGGGCCAATAAACTGAAGCTCAATCCAGACAAGACAGAGGGCCTGTTGGTTGGCGGATCGGGCTTCGGACAGGGTGAATTGAACCTTGTCCTGAATGGGGTTGCACTCCAAGGTCCACAGCCTGGGAGTGCTCCTCGATCCAGAGCTTTCACTGGAAGCTCAGGTGACAGCAGCGGCGAGGAGCGCTTTCCTCCAGCTTCAGCTGATTCATCAGCTGCGCCCCTACCTGGAGTACGACTGCCTTGGGACAGTGACACACGCGCTGGTGAATTCCCGTCTTGACTTCTGTAACGCGCTCTATGTGGGACTACCCTTGAAGACGGTCCGGATACTTCAATTGGTTCAAAATAGAGCTGCCAGGTTGCTTACGGGGACTGGGCGTTATGTTCACATGACTCCAGTTCTCCGTCAGCTTCACTGGCTTCCCATTGAAGTCCGGGCCCAATTCAAGGTGTTGGTGATGACCTATAAAGCCCTAAACAGCTTGGGTCCTGGTTACCTGAAGGAGCGCTTACATCCATATATGCCCAGCCGCCCCTTGAGATCGGCGGGAGAGGCCCTTCTCCGGGAACCCTCCGTGAAAGAAATTAGGAGGGTGGGTACTCGGAGGAGGGCTTTCTCTGCGGTGGCGCCTAAGTTATGGAATGCGCTCCCCAGAGGGGTCCGCCTGGCGCCGTCGTTATTTGTTTTTCGGCACCAGGCGAAGACCTTTTTATTTAAGCGGTATTTTAACTGTTAATATTATTGGATTTTATCTGGCCAGGGCGGCTTATTTTATACTGTATTTTTGTATTTTTAATCTAATGTTTATATTTTTTTAATTTAAGATTATAATTATTTTAATTTATTGTTGTAAGCCACCCCGAGGCTTTGGCGAATGGGGCGGCATAAAAATGTTTAAATAAATAAGTATAATGTTAAAAGACTCGTAATGGCTGACTTTTGTTAACAAGGAAATAATAGAGTTAGATTCAATCTCCCTATATGCAGATGGAAGCTTTATTTATTTTATCCTTTTCCTATGTTCTTACATCAAAATACATTGGAAGGCATTGTTCTCCAATATGCATACCAGCAGCATTTTACTGAACAAGGATCTGTGCGCACACACATATACATGTGCGTGTGCATAATACATGCTACAGAACAAGTTATGCAAAGTTAGTTCTAAAACTGCTGCAGTAAAATAATGTTCATTTGCATTTTCCCAGAGCTCAGCTTTCAGGCTGAGCCAAGGTCGAATCTCAGTGTTACCACCTTGCTCACAAAGCTATAACATTCCCCTGCTAGCCTTCCTCTGAACCTGGGCAGCAGTAAAAGCAGCAGCCAAGGCACATGGAAAAAAGAAAAGGGCAGCTATTTATCCACCCTCCCTGTTTGCTGTTCCTTCTTCATAACAAACAGCAAGTAACAGCATGCTTAGATGTGGGGCATTAGGGGAGATGTAGTTCTCCCACAGTCTCTCATGTACTGTCAGCAAGTGTCATGGACTGGGAGAAAAGAAAAACCTTTGTCTTCGTTTTCTCTATACATTTCTGCTTCTGCTCTTGCTAGGACTCAGCTTGAAGGGGAATGAAGAGTTGTTTTAAGTGAGGTGGTAGAGATGGAGGTGATGGAGATGAACAGAGTGTATTTAACACAAGCTGGAAGAAAGCTGTGGTGACTAACAAACTCACCTATCATTTTGAAGCAGACTTTATAATCCCCTGAAGTTTATTCTGAAATTCATGTTTGGAGATCTTATTGGTCAACATCTCTTTTTTTAAATCCAGAAAATACCAGAATTAGGATGGGAAGCATTGCCCTCCAATTTGCTTTATCCTAAATTTATTTCCTAGATCACTGAAGTAGTGAACAGGTAGGAAAAGGGAGTGAAAGTAGTGAGCAGGATGGAACCTACATTAAATCTGGTGTACTCAGTACTTGTAAACCCACCATCTAAGCTGAAAAGCTTTGTTTGGTATTGTTTTTGGCCCAGGGATTAAAACCGGAGCAAGTGAATCAGGCTTTGAGCCACTTGATATAACCCAAAGAGGCATGATCAAGTAAGGAAGGACCAAAGGGACAAAGAAAGTGGGATAGTCTAAAAGGTTGACTCCTGAGGTGGGAGGTGGGAAAAGGGAGGTGAGGCTGTGGCTGCAGCTGCTAGTCATTGCAGCAAGCTACCTGGATTCATATGCTAGCCCTGTGACCTGGACTTTGTGGTTCTTTGTGGGCTAGGACTGACCTGTGAAACGAACTGATGCGTCTGGCAAACTTGCACTATAGCACTTAATTAGTCAGATTTGATGGTGAACAGGGTGTCCAGCAGTCTTATCTCCTTCAAAACATACATCCTGACTTTCTCAGTATTCAAAGACTACTGTTTGTCAGTTCATGCAAAAGATTTTGGATTACAGTGTAAATTAACATCAGTGTTAATCTGTTAAACTCTAGGGAATGCTGAGTATAACTAGTTTTGGATACATACAGTGATGTTTGTACTACACCTTCCTTTATTAGCATGTTGTTTATCCATAATTTTTAAAATTCTAACTTCTGGTACTAAGCAGAGCAGTGAAGCTTAGATGTGTGTGGTAGAGGGTGGATGGGAGGCAAGGCAGGTTTCAGGAAAAGGAACAACCAGGAGGAAATGACAAAAGGAAATCTTTCCTTTTCACAGTGATACTTTTCTATGTAAAGGGCAAAATGTCATGAACACGTTTTTTTCCTAAGTTGGAAAAAGGGATTTAATATTCAGGATAGAGAATGGAAAAATGCTGTGAAATTACTGCCCAATCAAAAGGTTGTCCAAGCAAGGATACAATTGGCACATTGCCTTACTTCATTCAAAGAATTTTACTAGACATGCGGGGAATATCAGTCCAGATGTCATCATCATTGACTCATATCCCTCCTGTGTTCCCCTGCAGTTTATTTTTGTCTTCTTATGCAAAAAAAAAAAAAATCATTTAAACTATAGAAATAGCTGCAGAATTCATGGTAGCACTAAGTGACCTCCATCTCAAAATACCACATTTCTCTATTCCATCCTATGCTGTGATCAGTTAATTGTGGAAATCTGGCAGCAGACCCTTTTCCTTGAAATCCAAATAAACCCAAATTACATTTCAGGAGTGCGGGCATTCATAGCTCAGGTAAGCAGTTATACCACCCCTTGATTCAGTGATTCCTGTTGAACCCAGGCACCAAGGGCTCTATTCATTAGAAGAGTCCTGCTGGATCAGACCAAGTAGTCAATCAAATGCTTCTGGAAAGGCTATAACCAACTCTTTCTTTGTGTCTCAGCCACTAAGTTCTTTCTTAGTCATCATGGCTTAGATCTATCCATCATTAATTTGTCTGATCTGTTTTTAAACCATCTATGTGACTGGACATTTACACATCTTATACTGAATCTAACCAGCTGTCCATCCAGTTGACAGTGATTTTCCATCTGGATGGACCAATAATTTGCCTCACGATAAGAAGTGTCAATAGCCACTGGGAAGTCTTTCCCATCACTGTTACTTCAGATCCTTTAAAATGGTGATTTCTGGGATTTCCTACATACGAACCCATTTGTTCATAGTATGAACTATGGCCGCTCCATAATCTGTACTATTTGCTAGAATAAGTATAGTTGCACAAACCGTTGACTAGAGAAATGCTTGCTACCCCTATATTTTGAGGGAATTTTTAAAAGAAGTGTTTGTCTTTCACTGTTTTTTTCTATGTGACTCTGCTGTCATTTCTTCATGAAAGAACAAGAAGAAAGTCACAGGGCTCTTTGAACCTTGATGCTGCTACCACTGCCACCACCTCCTTCTACAGTAATTGGACATGTCCACTTGTGGACCAGTTAAAATAGCATTCATAAACCCAGTGGTTTGATTTAATTTTTACTTTTATCTAAAGCTAATTGATGGGAAAACAAGTGAAGGCAAATTTAAATGCTTAGATCTATAACCTTGTCACAGGGCCTGACTAATCATTTATCATCATTACCTTTTTTCCCAGCCAGCAGACTTCATAGGAAAGCAAGCACTGAAGCAGATTAAAGAAAAGGGGCTGGAACGACAACTTGTGTATCTCACCTTGGAAACGGATAATGTTGATCCAGAGGGGAATGAAAGTGTCTGGTATAAGAACAAGGCAAGCAGCATAGATTTTATTTCAAGTAACCAAAGCTAATTTTTCTAGGGCATATTCTGAGTTCCCATCCTTTTTGAAAATCAGGGAAGGTCATTTGAATTATAATAGATATGCATGGCTGTAAAAACTAACATGGGTTAAATCCAAAGTCATATAGTAGAAGTCTGCTTCTGGGACAGGAATCTCCTGGCTCCTCCTGCAGCTCCCTGGAGCAGCCTGTGGGGGTCGCAGGGCCTGTGGAGAGGAAGGGGGAATTCCTTCATTTGAGAGTCCCCTGACCAGACTGGTTGGAGAAGTGACCACATCTAGCCTTCTATCTTTACTAACACAAACATCAATGAGAGCCAGTGTGGTGTAGTGGTTAAGAGCATGGGACTGGGACTCAGACGATCTGGGTTCTAGTCTCCGCTCAGCCATGGAGCCAACTGGGTGACTTTGGGCCAGTCACAGACTCTCAGCCCAGCCTACCTTACAGGGTTGTTGTGGGGACAAGATGGAGGAGGAGAATGATGTAAGCTGCCTTGAGCCCTTTGTAGGAAAGGCAGGATATAAATTGGAAAATAAATAAATAAAAATAAAATAGGTAGACTTTATTGCACTAAATATTTTGATATTTGGGTATGTTTCCAGGTTATTGGCAACACCACATCCGGATGTTACAGCTATAGTGCAAAGCAGAGTCTAGCTTTTGCATATGTCCCTGTGGAACTCAATAAAATTGGACAAAAACTGGAAGTTGAACTTCTAGGCACAAAGTATCCAGCCACTGTTATCCAAGAACCACTGGTAAAGACTGAACCAACAAGAACACGACTTCAGAAGAAGGGTGGGAATGCTGAAATATAAAAAACCATCTGATAATTCTTTGATAGTAAGTATCTAAACTTGTTTAACATGTAACATCTTTGACTTGAATTGATGGCTTGTTTGATGTGTTGCCCTCCTGTCACACCATTAGAATTATGAGAAGAGGGACAGTGGGTTTTGTTGGCCTTGTCCCTCCATTGCATTTCCATTACTTGCTCTGCTCTTCACATATCAGGGGAAGCAGGGAGTTTACTTTTTTAGAACGCTGCACAGGCAAGGCTCAAAATTTGCACACAAAGTCTACATGAGTAGATCAGTTACCTGAGTAACTCCACCAAAATATAGAAGAGAGTAAAGCAGAACCACAGCAATTTGGAGAGGGTCAGGCCAAACATGGTCCCACATGCACTTCTCATCTTCTGGATGATTAATGGCTGAATGGGCTTGAGTTGACTGGAAATTGCATATGAAATATGTTGTAGCATGGATTTTGGATTTACTAATAATTGAGAAATAATTTTTACTTTGTATGTTAACTCTTGCTTACCGGTATAGGAATCTGCACGTCTAGTCTGAGCTAGGGTGAACTTATTTAGATCAAAGTGATTCCTTGCGGTTCTTTGTCAAACTAGATAAGCATATCAAATAGGATGCTGCAATGTTGGATCCGGGTACTGTATTCATCAACATTTTTATTAATTATATGAAGAGAAGGAGGAGCAGATGGGGGATGCTTATTAAATGTACAGATGACTCACAATTAGGTAGGATAGCTGATGCTTTAGAAAACAGAAACAAAATTGAAAATTTCTTAGATTAGAAAGCTGAGCAAGAAAAAAACCCAATTATTTCAATAGAAACAGGTACAAAGTTTTTCGTTTAGAAAACAGGAATCAAATGCATATGTAAAAGATGGTGGATATCCAGCTTGATTATAATATCCAGCAAAGAACCTTGAAGTTGTAGTTGATCACAAGCTGAATATGAGTCAACTGTGTGATCTGGCTGCAGAAAAAGGCAACAGCAATTTTAAGTGGAAGTATAGTTTCTAAATTATGGGAAGTAGTGGTTCCACTCTATTCTGTATTAGTCTGCCCTCCCCATGAATGCTGTGTTCAGTTCTGAACATGACACTAAGAAGGATCCACATACACTGGAATGAGCTCAAGGCTGATCATGGGATCAGAAACCAAGTCCAATGAGGAAAGATTGAAGGAACAGAGTGTGCTTAGCTTTGAGAAGAGGACTGAATGGAAATATGGTAACATTTTCAAGTACCTAAGCATGGGTCCTCAAACAATGTCCCATGGGCTGGATATGGCCCGTCATGATTGTTTAGCCGGCCTGCCTCAGAGCTTTTGGATTCTCTTGGAGATTATCTCCGAGCGAGTCCAAAGGCTCTGAGCCGCACAGGCATACTCAGTGGGGAGATGGCCACGATTGTGGTAGCGCTCATGCAGGGAAGATGGGCATGATCACAGTCGTGCTGGGGGAGGGGGAGAGGGCCACGATCGCGCCAGCCTTCCCTGCACGAGTGCACCTGCGATCGCACCTGCCTTCCCTGCACGAGCGTGCCCGTGATCGCACCCATCTTTGTGCTTGGGGGGTAGGGAGATGGCCGCGATCACAGTTGCGCTCGTGAAGGGAAGATGGGCATGATCGCGGTCGCACTTGTGGGGAGAGGGCCGTGATCGCATCCCCTTTCCCTGCATGAGTGCAAGAGCGATCACACCCGTCTTCCCCCGCCCCCACCCCCAGCACTATCGCGGACATTGTAGCTATGTCCCTTGAATATGAACATGCTCTTCCCCACTTTATCTTGGGTTTCTGCTGCAGCCCAAGCCAGCAGAGCAAACATTTTTAATTATTTTTAAAAATCTAATTATTTTTAATTTAATTTTTTATTATTATTATTATTATTATTATTATTATTATTATTATTATTTTTATTATTATAACATTTCTATGCCGCCCCTTGCCAAAACCTTGGGGCGGCTTACAACATGATAAAATACATTGAAATACAATAGTACATAATAAATTACCATTAAATACAAAAATACAAAAAATACATTGATTTACAAATATAAAATTAAAATTATCAGTATAAAATAAAAATATAGGAGGAGAAAGAGAAGGAAGAAGAAGTTGTCCTGGCCAGATCATATGTTTTAACAATTGAAATGATGTTTAAATAAAAAGGTCTTTACCTGGCGCCGAAAAACCAGTAACGACGGTGCCAGGTGGACCTCTTTGGGGAGTGAATTCCATAGGTTGGGCGCCACCGCAGAGAACGCCCTCCTCCGGGTACTTACTCTCCTAATTTCTTTCATGGAGGGTTCCCAGAGAAGGGCCTCTCCCGCAGATCTCAAAGGGCGGTCGGGCATATACGGACGTAAGCGCTCGTTCAGGTAGCCAGGACCCAAGCCGTTTAGGGCTTTATAGGTCATAATCAACACCTTGAATTGGGCCCGGGCTTCAATGGGAAGCCAGTGAAGCTGACGGAGGACTGGAGTCATGTGAGCATAACGCCCCATCCCCGTCAGCAACCTGGCAGCTCTATTTTGCACCAATTTATTTTAATTTTAATTAATTTTAATGTGCAGTGTGCATAGGAATTTGTTCATATTTTTTCAAACTATGGGGGTTTTTTCAAAACCCCCCAACAGTCTGAGGGACAGTGAACTGGCCCCCTGTTTAAAAAGTTCGAGGACCCTGACCTAAAGCATGCCAGGCAACATGTTCAGTTTAACCATTATAGTGTTATGGAGTGATTTGCCACTAAATTTCAGGCACTGCATGAACAGCAGCCTAAGTCAGGGGTCTGGTGGGTGAAAATGGCCTCCAGGCCTTTGAACATTGCCCACTCCTGACCTAAAGAGCTGTCACAACAGAGATGCTACTTGTTCCCTGTCATCTAAGAGATTAATCCATGGAATGGCAGGAAGCATCAAGAAAAACTTCATCCTGTCAGAGCTGTCAGACAATGGAACTGACTGCTAGTTGAGGTGGTGAGCTCTCCATTGCTGGAGGTATTTGAGCAAAGCTTGGACAACCAACTGTTAGGGATGCTTTAAACTGGATTTCCACACTGACCAAGAGTTTGGATTCGATGGCCTAAATAGCCCCTTCCAACTTTATGATTTTATAACTTAAATAATCTAGACAAGACTAATTTAAATTAGAAGAGCCTAAATTGCTCAGTTTTTCTTCATAAAGACTATAGAATGCTTTTTTTTTTTGCTGTGTTCTACAGATCAGCAAGGCAATTCAATAATGTTCAATAGCAAGTATAAAGCCTGCTGATGATTTTTTAAAACCTTGACTTTATCTTTAGCACTATACTCTAGTTACTCTGATTTGTGCCATGGTCTCTTGACTCCACATAATGGCTAGGTAGAGCCAGCCTTGAGTAAGGATAAAATCAGGAGAGATCATTGCAAGAGGGGGAAAGCATGGAACCTGAAAAGATAAAAAACAACTAGGATTTACAAAATCCTGGGCCATCCTTACTGGAACAGGAGGTAGCCTTGCTGGTGGGTGTTTTAGTTTCCTTTTAGACAGCCAGATGAGTACCCAGCACATTAGTTGACCATCAAGAGAGGTCTCGGCTCAGCCACAAAGGAATGCTTAAGAGTTTACAAAATGTAAGGCCATGGGTTGTATTGCACATACTTAAGTGATGTTACAATAGGACACTGTCACATTGCTTACAGTAAGTAACAAAGTTGCACAAAAGGAATTGACCCACTGTGGAAAGAAAAATGTGTTGTCTCTGAAAGAGAAATGCTGCCTTGAAGAAAGATATTTGGTTCCTCCGCAATAATTGAATAACAAATGCATATACTGTGTGCTATCAGTTGATGGTCTGGAATGGTCAATAATAGTAAACTTTTAAAAGAAATACATCTTATTAAACAATGTTTTCATTTATTCTCTGCTAATAAAGTAATGTACATCACGTGAACTACATTAATATGTAAAACCTAACTATTTGCAATGTTGTATTCCATTTGAAATGCTTGGCAATTTGAAGATTTTAAATATATGGAACATGAACACAACACCATACCATAGGAAATAACATTTCCATTGTGAGCACTTAAGAATATTTTGTAGTGCCTGAGCCTGCGTTACTTGGACCAGAATCCTATGTACTGGAAAGTATCCCAGCATTCCCCTTCCCTATTCTTCCTGCTCAGTTATTTCCCACAATACACATTATCCTTCATTCTGTTCTGTGGATACCCCTTAGTTCATCCTTGATGTCCTTCTCCCCATCCTACCTTGTGTATTGTTCTCATCATCACTATGCTATCATCCTCTCACCCTGGCAGAAGTCAGTGCAATCTCATGAACTTGCTTTTTTTTTTTTTTTAGTGTCTTCCTGCTGAGGGGAGCTTGTAACCTGAAGCTTCCAGTAGCCAATTTGTAATCTAGGAAGTTTCTTCTTTAACTCTTCCTTTAAAAAAGAACATTCACATCAGACTGGGTTCGTAACATCTGCTAGTTAATTATTGTTGCTTGTTTTTCTCTGAACACCTGTACAATGCAAACTTACTTCCAGCAGCTGAACATAGTAATTGATCCAATAAAAGTATCACCTTTTGTGTTTGTCTTCTTTTTATTTTATGGGATTTACATAGCTACGAGGACTCTATCTCTTTGACGTTTCAGTTAAATTGCTGACAGAAGGCTCTTCACTTTATAATGCCCACTAGTTTGGGATCATAACTTGATGTAAGCAAAATGAAAAGGCTATTGGCATGTGTGAAACAGCTATGCAGATTCAGTGCCAGACAGAACTACCATATGGCATCACATCTCAAACATCTCAAATGTTTTTTCCACTGACACTTTACACTTTGCAGTAAAGCAAATGATGAGGCACTGATGACCATGCATAAAGTTGTTAGAAAACTTTTTAAAAGACACATTGATGTTAGATCTATCATGGATATGAATCATGATGAATAAAATGGAAACCCCTTGTTGAAAATATGTGGGCCAGATAGCAAGATACGGCCTTCCAGGTTTGGTCTGACACAAAAGGAATGTTTTTACTTGGTTTCTTATTTCTTCCTGGTGGGCTAGCCCTCCTAGATATTTTCCTAGGACTAGACATCCATCTTGTGCTGTCAGTGATAAACATCAAGTCCATAAAACATGATTTTCACACTAGTAAGTTCCATGTATCTTAATCCTAACTTAGAATAATGTCATACCTGAGGTCAAACTATTCAAAATTAACTTTTGTTCTTTGCCCCAAAGTGAAGACTCTTCTAAAGGAACTGATCTAAACCCTCAGTAAAGACACTGAGACATTAATATAAGACATGCCAGCAGACACCGTATGAACAAGCATCTATCATTGCTAAAGCTTTTAATGCAAGCTGACATTACAAATCTGAATATCCATTTACAAAGGAGGTTACAATAAAATACAGAATCTGACAGGATTGCTCATAGTGCTAGCCAAAGTTGGGAGGGGTAATCCACTTGGAAATTATTCTCTTGAAGTGTATTTGACCTATATATTCAACCACTCAGGGACCACTCAGATTTTTCTTAACGGTGACACTGCTTCTAATCAAGCGCTGTATATATGCCAAACGTTTTCTTCCAGATGTTAAACATTATACTTCAACATATTTACATACAAACAGAACTGTACACAAGGAAGTAATCCTTGCACAGCGTTTGGTTGGAAACCTATACCATGAGTGCTTGACTCTATCACACCAGATCAGGAGACCATCAGGAGACCAAGGCGGAACCTCCTGCAAAACAGCCTGGTTAGATTATACTGTGTGAGGTATGTACACACATGCATACACACACAGTGCCCTAATTTTAAATTATGGCCAATTATGCTTCATTGAGTCCTTTGTAGACTATTTGTTGTATTTATACTTCACTTTTCAAAAGCAGCTCCAAAAGCAGTTTGGGAAATCTGGGTCTGAGACTGTACTTGACCATGAAGCTCAAAGTGATTTAGGGACAGCCCCTAATTCTCAGCATTCTCTATAGAGTTGTTGTGAGGATAAAGTGGGGAGGAAGAGAACTATGCAACCTTCTTGGATTACTTGCAGAAAAAAGGCAGTATATAAATGTAAGGACTGGATGAAAATAAGACAGTATAATTAAGGATAACTTAGTGTGTGAGGTGGATCATGCCCTATATTTTATTTACTAAATACTGTACATGAAATTCCTGTTAAATGTCAGAATTGTTTCTTCATTACATTGTTAGATTTATTTATTCATTAGATTTATTAAGCATAGCATGAAATACATTTATCCAAGAATTTTACAATTTTATTACAGATAAAATTGCAACAAAACCAACAGTATAAAATTCATAAGCACCCCAACACAGCATGAAATACAGTAGTAGTTATAATTGGTAAAACTGCATTGCAGATACTGGGAAAACAAAACACAAAAGTACAAAAGGTGCCATCGCATGTAAGTTATTCTATCTAAATAGCATAGGATTGTTTCTTAAAATATTTTAAGGGCATACTCTTGTCATCCCTAGATGTTGTATGAGGGACCATAACACACTGCTGATTTTCACTTCTGAGGCTATAGACAGAAGAATGACTTTGGGGGTGAAATGCTTACTGGGGTCTCCATGCCTGTCACCCTGCCAGCCACTGCAGAAAGTTTAGCAGTGGCTCCATTTCCAAGGCTGGTATCACAATCTTGGATGAGAATGAAAAGAAGAAGAAGAGAGCATTAGATTGGTCAGGGTGGGGAAGAAAGAGAGGGCAACATCGGCTGTATCTGTGGCCTGTTTGATCCTGGAACTTCCCCCATCAATGGAACTCCACCAGATGGGCTCAAAGGCCTGCCTAGGGTAAATCTGAAAAGGAGACAGACAAAAATCATCATCATGCCTCCTGCCCTGTTGGCAGCAGCCTTACAGAGCATAAGAATCTCAGAAACATCCAAGATCAAATGTTGCAGCCATTTAGTAGGCTGCAACACAATAGCACTGTGATCTAAAGGACTTGAAGTACCAGTTCTGACATTACAAAAGAATTTTGACACCAAGCTGGGACTCCACACTTGGGCTACCCTCTCCTTCCTTGCAGCTGCTTCTCCAAGGTTGCAAATGTCTGTTTTGCAGGGTAGGAGGGGAACAGAGACAATCATCTCTGTGCTACACTGCACTGCACTGCACAGGATGCCTGTAACCCAGTGAGTTCAGAGGGTTCTAGGCATTTCCATAGGAATGCAATATTTTATTTTATTTTTATTTATTAAAACATTTTTATGCCGCCCCATTCGCCGAAGCCCAATATAAAAGAATTGAAGGGGTCAATCCTATTCCTGTTGAGAAAGAAGTAAATCCTATACCTCCTAGCATTCTAGAGGCATGGGATGCTGGCATTTGCACGACTTATTTATATCTGGGAATGTATAGGATTGTACTTTGAAAGCCTGGTAGAGTTAATAACATCATTCAGAAACTTTCTCTGTCAAATAGAGTGGGGTAGTGGTTAAAGGTGCTGGGCTGGTACTCAGGAGATCCGAGTTCTAGTCCCCACTCAGCCATGGATCTCACTAGGTGACTTTGGGCCAGCCAAAGACTCTCAGCCCAACCTATAGCACAGGGCTGTTGTTCAGTGGCTAAGACTGAGAAGGAGAATTTTGTAAGCTGCCTTGAGTTCCTTGGAAAAAAAGATGGGATATAAATATAGCAAAATATAAAATAAGAAAAAAGCCATTGCTATGTCCATGTTTTTTATTTCACCAACATGTTTCAACTTTGCATAGCAGATTGTAATTATGTGTGGTTTTCTTTTTAAAGTTAGCAACAGAGGTTCTCTTGAAGAAGTAATGTTGACATACCTGGATTACTTCACTTCCTAAACACTAACTGACAAAGGTTTACAGCTAGAAAGGTTGAGTTGCATTTTTCCTTATCATTCCCTCCCAAAGGTCCCTATCAGAAGCCCTGTTCTACACTGCAGGCCCCCATCTCCATGAGGTACCCACCCCATGCCCACACAGGAGCCATGGGGCCAGCTAAATATACAATGGTACTTAAATAAGATCACATCGATAAGAAGGTTGCATGAACTATCCTACTATAACTGACACTTTGGTAATGGGGTTGTGTTATATAGAGATAGGGAGAAAACTCGGAAGGAACTTACTGTTATACCACCTTATCAGTCAGAAACCCATCAAAACAGTGTAGAACAGTTTAAACAATAAAGTGGTGTGCAACAGTAAAAAATGAGGGTATTAAAATGGTTAAAAACTTTATGAAAAAGCACATTTTAAAAGCCTAAAATGGAAAGACACATACTTGCACCCTTTCTAAAGGCCATGAGAGTCGGGGCCAATCATACGTCTTAAGGAAGTCACATGTGCCCAACAAACAGGCCTCCGTAGAGTAATGGCATCCCCAAAACATTATATTCTGCCAGTCTCAATACTCATGGCAGGCTCACAGAAATTAACCTTTATGAAACAAGTGGAATAAATGTATTGGCCCTAGTCCTGGGAAACCCTTGTTTCCAACCCAGCTTTATAAAGACCAGATCTGGCTAATAAGATAGCATCTACAGATTAGTTTGTTCATCATCCTGTACCTGTTACCCTGACCTGTTCATGGGACGACTCAAAAGTAATTTTCCAGTTACTGCATCCTGTCTTCACCCAGGCTTATAGGACTGGGCTGAAAGTCTGTTTCTCAGATAAGGTCCTGAGATGAAGCAGTGTCTTGCCATTAACTGCTTTGGTATCCCTGAGCTCCCCAACTGTATGCTTTCAGCTGATCTGTTGTTATGTGCCATCAAACCATTTCCAATGTATGGTGACCCTACAAAAGGAATGCCCTACAAAATGTCTTGTAAACCCAAGGCCTGGGGAATTGTAAAAAAGTAAATAGTTGCCCCAAGCTGCTCACCACTCACTGGAGCATGAGAAAAGGTAGGCCTAGATCTGGTGTCCATGATGCTGGGCCCCAGGAACAACCCAAGGATGCTGGCTTCATTGTCCTTAGTGTTTAGAATCATTTCCACTTTTGGGGCATCCCTCTTCAGATTTTAGTCCACTTGTCCTCATAGATAAATTAAATTCCTGCGTGAAACATTTTGCCACTAACTATATTCAGTGCCAAGTTAAAAACATTAATGCTTCTTGTTACTTCATCTTTCATATAGTTTCACATCTTCCTTTAGACTTTACCGCAGCTTCAGTTTCACTCCTGGTGCCACACCCAAGCATTACTTTTGTCAAGACAGGCATTTAGGAGACAATCATATACATGTTGGGGCCAAAAAGTCCTACAATTACCAGAATTCCCCAGTCAGCTCTAGAGCTTTTCTGCCTAAATGTGCATAGGATTGAAACCTGCATAAACAAAGTCTTTATTCAATACAATATATATAAACAGGTGGCTTCAAAGACATCTCTAACCCCAACTACCAACTCACAACCTATTCCTATCTGGAACTGAGTTCCAGTGTATAAAGGGATACTATCCAGCATAAAAGCTGCAACTCTGGTTGCTTGCAAAGTGCCATCCCACCTCCTGAGCAGCACAAGAGGTTGCCATCAGTGTGTCAACCTGAGTGCTTCCAGGTGAGACCAGATGCAGCTGTTTTCCACTTGCAACCCCCCTGATTTCCTGCCAGTTCCCCCATCTTCTCTCTTAGCACGTAAACCTCTTATGGAGAACAAGATGGATCTGCTGCACAGTGCCTTCCAGCAGGTGGCATGAGGCACTTTCCATCTGGAAGCAGCTCGAAAGCACAGGTGAATGAGCCAAAGGTTAAGGCAACTGCTCCCACGGAACCCCCAACCTAAGATGCCTACAGCTCAGCTGCACTTTCGCAGCAGACCCAGTCTCTCCCTTACAGCCCCCAGACATAGGACTGGAAACAACTATTCCCTGAAAGCACCGCTCAGTTGCACGCTTTCGTGGACCAGCGAGCAGCAGCTGCCCTGAACCACCTTCCTTCTGCCTCTGGAAGAGCAGCCATTGCTGCGCACAAGGCCTCCAGTCCTTGCAACGGCCCCCCGATCCCAACATCTCAGGGGCAGCGGTGGTACAGGGCCACCCGGCCTTCCCTCGGGCTTCAGCGCCTTTCCACCAGGCCTGTGCCTGTCTCTGCAGCCCACGCTAGACTCTTCCACTTCACGCAGGCCGGCGCAGCTTGGCCCGAAACGGGTAGGCGGGCTTCTGTTGTGGCTTCCTTCCCTTCCAGGGGGCGGAGCAGGGGGTGCGCCCTGGTTGGGGACTGCGCCGTGGGCTGGGCGGACCGTTTGCCTGAGGAGGCGGGCGGCTTGGCCATGGGGCGGCTCCCGCTCTTTCCTGGCAGTTCGGGTAGCAGCCAGTTCCTCTTCGGGCTCGATGTTTCGCGACGGCGGCGATGCTCAAGCGCTTGGAGCTCGGGCAGTTGCTGCCGCCGCCGCTGCTGCTGCTGCTGCTGCGGCCGCTTGCGTGCCTGAGCGCTCCGCCTCCACGGTCCCCGCACTTGGTGCTGGTGCTGGCCGACGATCTGGGCTGGAACGACGTGGGCTGGCATGGCTCCGAGATCCGCACCCCGAACCTGGACGCGCTGGGGGCCGGCGGCGTGCGCCTGGAGAACTACTATACGCAGCCCTTGTGCACCCCGTCGCGGAGCCAGCTGCTCACTGGCCGGTACCAGGTAGGAGCGTGAGTGCATTGCAGTTCCGAGAAAGGGGGCGAGTTGAACTTGTCAAAGGAAGGAAATGAGATAGGGGATGAGTCCTTTCTTGGATAGGGCTCTCTTTCTCCCTCTTATTCTCCTCATTGCGGGTGTGCAGTTGCATGAGGCTGGAAAAATCCCCAGAGTTCCTGCTTAAGTTTCTGACCCTCGTGATTCCGCTTCGAATAACGGGCAGCTAACATTTCCGAAGTAGCTAGTCTGAAAAGGAACTAAACTTGAGTGCGGGAGATCTCGCACTCCACCTACCTATGACCCAGCTTTTATAAAGATCCACTTTCGTCTCCGCAAATTAAGAGAATTGTTCATTTGGGTGAGGATTCAGCGCGCGTGACGCGCTAAGAATCTTCTACGCGAAGCGGACGACATAGTCGCTTTTTTTCTGAAGGGAAGTTAGGACTTTTTCGGGGCAAAGTTTTTCTAGATGTACGAACATCTTTGCCTATTGCTCTAAAAGTTATTTGTTCTTAAACGTTAGAAAGCTGACATCTACTTCCTAGTCGTGTGCCCCGCTTATATTAGATGAGTGAATTAGAAATGCTTTAACCAAATTCTTAAAATGTATGAGGAATCATACTGTTGTCGATTATAAACTTGCAATCGGAATTGATAATTATCCGGTTTAGAGGGACCTCTAGTGGCCGTTTAAACCATTTCAGAAATAATTTAGGCTTGTGTTCTTAAACTTTTACTAATTTGCTGCTGAGGATAACGTGTAATTGAAAACCCGGAGTATTGTTTGTTTATACATCTTAACAAGAACATACTACTGTTTAGTAGTTCTACCCCGTCCGAGTGGGGAAACAAAGCCAAAAACCCCTTTCCAGTTTGCATATTAGGCTCATGAATGAAATATTTTAGCAGTAAGAACTGAGGGAGGAAGCAGCTAACCAGGTCTCTTAACTAGTATTTCTGATTTAACTTTTTGTTAGTGGGAGCTTATTTTGCACATGCTTGTGAGCTAATTTCATAGAATGGAAATGTAGCACTGGAGAAGTATTTAGGTTGGGTGGTGAAGGAAGCAACATGAATTTTGTAGCTAATCTTGTTTCTTCAAAAAGCCTGTTTCACAATCAGTGCTGTAGAGGGACCAAGACTCATCATTTTGATGAGCAGGAACTATGGTGTCATCAGTCATCCCATTCAAGCTTCCCTGCACTCTCTGAGTTTGGGGGCAGTCCTCATCAGTAGGCCTGAAGGCACAGTATTAAGGCTGTGTAAGACTGCTTCTTAGGTGCCTGCGTACAGTACCATGCTAATGGACAATCAGCTGTGGCCTGATTGTCCTGTGTCCTGTGTAGAAAACATGTCCCATGCTCAAGACTTGGAAGTGTTTACAGTTTATTTAAGAAATGTGTATCCCTTCTTTCAATCTATAGAAAAGTCCTGATAGCTCTTGGCCATATAGATTTTGTATTTCACCTACCATTCCAAGCCAAGAACAATCAGCATGGATACCCTTTTTGGCATTTTAAACCCTTCTGCACACATTTCAAAATAGTATGAAGTTTGCCTTTCAGGTGATTCATATTGGACAAATGCTAGAAGTTCATAGGAATACATCAGACAAGAAGGTAATATGTTAAGCACTATAAACAAGGGTTTATCCATTATCCATATGAGATGAGTACAGAATGACCTTAACACTCTATACACAGTGTCAGAGGGTGCTAGGTTGCTTTGGATTCTAATACCCAAGGTCAGAAAAGAGCTCTGTCCTTGGTGCTTAGAACCTGCATCCCCAATTGGCTGTATAGCTGATTTCAAGGGTAGGAGGAGCAGGAGATAATGATCTCCCGCTCTGCATAGAATGTCCATAATCCTCCAAGTTCAGAGGCTTCCTTGCATCCCCATTGAGTTACACTCTTAATTAGGGTGAATCCTTTTTGTATAGGTCAGGGATATAATTTTTTAGCTCTCCGCACTTGTGCACTCTTTACACTTCAAGGCTGAACTTGGATCATAGGGTGCCTTCCAATGGGCATTCAACAGGCCTATGTGACTGCTTTCTGAAGAAAACTCTGACTACTTATAATTGGCCATGTAATTATTGCAAACTGTTTCGGTAAACAAACTTCAACTGGTAACAGTATGAACTGTGTACATTATTGGGGACTCTTCCCTCATCCTAAATTAAGGTAATAGCTTGTTATTTGTCAATACTATCTACAAAGAATGTAACTAAGTGCTATGTCCTACCTAACAAAGAATCTGGTGGCACCTTATAGATTCTTATAGATCCTTGGACTTTTTCAGTGCAAAGGTTCAATTCCTGTCTGTGAGAGGTCTCAGGGACCGACTTCCATCTAAGGATGGGGCCGAAGGAAAAGCGGGTGGGGTCAAAATGTGGTTCTTGCCAATTTTATGCCCACTTGGAAATGAGCAGAATTTGTCTCTGTATGTCTGCTCTGAAATAAGCACTAGCAGTTTGTCTACTTCCAAGCAGGTAAGACAGGCTTCTTCACTTCACAAGTAAGCAGGACAAGTTCCAGAAGTAGAACTGAATCATTCAGCAGCCCTTCTCAGTACATAACTACCTACAGACCATCAGCCAGCTGTCCAGTGTCAAGGCCCTAGGATCTGATGCGATCCCAGCGGAAGTCTATAAGGAAGGTGGTGCAGTGCTTGTCAACAAACTCACTCAGCTGTTTCCAGTCCTTCTGGAATCAAGGATCCATTCCTCAGGAACTGAAAGACGCATCATCATACACCTCTACAAGAGGAAAGGAAATCGACAAGACTGTGATGATCATAGAGGAATATCGCTGCTCTCCATCGCAGGCAAGATCCTTGCACGTGTGTTGCTGAATCGCCTGACTGACCACCTTGAACAGGGTCTACTACCCGAGACACAGTGTGGCTTCCACAAAGAGCGTGGCACTGTGGACATGATCTTCACAGCCTGACAGCTCCAAGAGAAGTGTCAAGAGCAGAATCGTGAACTATACACCATCTTTGTGGACCTCACCAAGGCTTTTGACACTGTGAGTCATGAAGGTCTGTGGCGCATCATGTCAAAGTTTGGGTGCCCTGACAGATTCATCCTGATGATACGTTAGTTCCACGATGGCATGACAGCTCGTGTTTTGGACTATGGAGAAGCTTCAGAGGCCTTTCCCATCACAAATGGCGTCAAGCAAGGGTGTGTGCTGGCACCGACCCTGTTCAGCATAATGTTTTCAGCCATGCCGACAGATGCCTTTCAGAACAACTCCTTGAGAGTCAGCCTGAAATACAGGACCGATGGGAAACTGTTCAACCTACGAAGACTCCAGGCTGTCACCAAGATAAAGGAGACTATGCTACGAGACCTCCTTTTTGCTGACGACTGTGCCGTAAATGCTGGATCAGAGCAGGAAATGCAAGCCAGCATGGACAAATTTGCAGTAGCATTCAACAACTTCGGCCTCCTCATCAACACAGAGAAAACCAAAGTGATGCATCAGCCAGCTCCGAAAGCCCAATACCAAGAGCCCACCATCACAGTGAAGGGACAAAAGCTGCAAGCAGTGGACCAATTTACATACCTTGGGAGCACCCTTTCCTGCGCAGTGACAATTGATATCAAGATCAGCTGCAGAATCGCCAAGGCAAGCTCTGCATTCGGCAGACTGCAGACCAAAGTGTGGGACCGCCGTGGAATAAGCCTTGCTACAAAGTTTAAAGTCTACCGAGCAGTAGTGCTAACTACCCTGATGTATGCCAGTGAGACTTGGACAGTATACAGGAGGCACGCTAGGCAACTGAACCATTTCCACACGACTTGCCTCTACAGACTTTTGAGGATCCAGTGGCAGGACAAGGTGTCAGACACAGAGGTCCTCTCCAGAGCAGGCCTGCCATCAGTTCACACCCTGCTGATGAAAGCCCAGACACGCTGGGCAGGCCATGTTGCAAGGATGCCAGACCACGGCATCCCCAAACAGTTCTTCTATGGTGAGCTGTCTCAAGGAAAGCGATCTCATGGGGGACAAAAGAAGCGATACAAAGACATGCTGAAAGCCTCTCTCAAGTCCCTGGTTATCGACACCACCTCCTGGGAGACTCTGGCACAAGACCGATCGACATGGCGCACGCTGATCCACCAAGGCTGCCAAACTTCTGAAGCCAGAAGGACAACCATAGCACAAGAGAAGCAAGCACTCCATAAAGCCAGGGTTGCAAACGTTGCAACAGTGGTGCCCACACATGTCTGCCTGACATGTGGCAGAACACTCCATGCCTGCATTGGCCTTATCAGCCACCTGCGGACACACTGTGGACAACTTACAACCTGTTAGATGTCAAGGTCCTCATCGAAAACAATGGACAAATATCAATGTGGGACTGCCCTTGAAAACAGTCCAGGTACTTCAGCTGGTACAGCATAGAGCAGCCAGGCTGCTGATGGGGACCAGATGTTATTCTAATACAACGCCGGTCCTCTACCAGCTCCACTGGCTTCCAATTGAAGTCTGAGTCCAATTCAGGGTGCTGGTTTTGACCTATAAAGCCCTAAATGGCTTGGGACCAGGATACCTGAAGGAATGTCTTCTTCCTTATACAACCTCACGCCCCTTAAGATCTGCGGGAGAGGCCCGGCACTGGGAACCCTCCCTGAAGGAGGTAAAAAGGACATCTACTCAGAGTAGGGCCTTCTCTGTGGTGGCACTCAGATTGTGGAATGTGCTCCCCAGATTGGTTTGCCTGACGCCGAGCCTATATTCTTTTTGGCACCAGATCAAAACCTTTTTATTCAAGAGTTGTTTTTTTAAAAAAATAACATTTTAATGGTTTTAACAGTCGCTTTTGATTTGATTTATTTTTATTGGTTATATATTATTTTATTATATTGTGGTATTAATTGTTTTATTGAATTCTGATTTTAATGTTGTAAGCCATCCTGAGATATTATACAGGAAGGACGGCATATAAATGTTTTAGATAGATAGATAGGAAAGGCTCTGATCTCCAGTTAGCTA